CTGAATTTTGTTTCTTTCCTTCTTTCTTCTTTTTTGTTTCTTTTACAGCAAAGTTCTGTTTATTTATTTTTAAACTTAATCTCTCTATTACATTTTTCTCACCACATTTCTCTCTATTTATGGACAAAATCATACTATGTTGTTAAGATTATGGGATTAAATAATTTTTAAAACTAAATATATAATGTATTTATCATTTAAATCATAGTTGGAGATTTATTTTGGATAATTTAATCTTGGCCATTTAATTTAACTTATGACATGTGTTATTGATCCAAGTAAAAATTTGGAGAAAATGGAGAGAAGAGAAATAGAGAGGAGCCGAATCCATCTTACCAAGTGAGCAAAATCCTGTTCATAAATAAGATATTAGAATATCCTAAAATGTCTTATAAATTAGTATAACTTACATAAATTTTGTTGAAAACTAATTACATTATTTTTCTACTCTTTTCCAAATTACAAAATCCCTTAAAATTTATAAATTTCGAGTACATCACTATACTTCTCGATACATCACACTTCCGGATATATTTAGTTACTATAACACATAACTAATTATTATAATAGTAGTCCAAAAAAAATCATCAAATAGTTGATTATCCTTTAATATAATCATTCCATATGATACAAGTGATTTTTGCAAGTCGAGCATAAGGGTTTTTATTGTTTTGTAAACTTTTAAAAAATTATATCTTTTGCCATATATAAATTTATGGATCAAATTTAAAATCATAAATTTGAAATTTAAATTCTACTAAACTAATATATCATAGATAAACATAAATTTCAAATGAAAATTTTAAATTTGAAATCTAAATTGCATGGCAAAGGCCCTAAATGACCGAAAATTTGGGTAGGATTACCTATTCTACCATCTCTTCTAGGGTGTTCGTGGTTCGATTTGGATCGGTTATTGGTTAAAACCAAAACTAAACCAATCTAGTCGGTTTTTTTAATTTCTAAAACCAAATCAAGCCAAACGAAAAATAACCGTCGGTTTGGTTATTGATGGTTTGGTTCGATTTGGTTCAGTTTTTTTGGTTTTTTCAGTTTGAAAGTAATAATTTTTTAGGACATAAGTATCTTGATAGACACAAACACCTAGTACATGAACAATCCACTGAAAAGTTATTGTTGGTTCAATTAAGCAATTAAACAATACTAAAGTTATCATTACACGAACAAAGTGATTCAAATAAGAGAATGAGTAACTATCTTATGAAATGTATGATAGGTAAAGACTAAAGTAATGAATTTTGATAGACTTGAACTTATGATTGTAATAGATGGGCTAAAATTTACGTGTTGGGCATGTGAAAATGGTAAAGTTAAAGACTTAAGTTACTTAAAATTTAACAAAATATTTATATTTTATTTATGAATAATATATATAAATAATTATGAAATTTATATATCTAATTTCTCGGTTCGGTTTGGTTATTTTTGCAGTTATTTTTTAGTAAAATCAAAACCAAACCAAAGAGTATCGGTTTTCAAAATGTAAAACCAAACCTAACCTAATCAAACCAAATATCAATTTTTTTAATCGATTTGATTTAAATTGCGATTTAATTTAATTTTTTAACCATAACCATGAACCGCCCTAATCTCTTTCTTATCTTTCTTATCCGAGAGATCCGGCGAATATTATAAGGCACACTATAGCTTGCTTTGCTTCCTGTACGCTGTAATGCTTATTGTTCTCTTGTCAGTTAAATCCACATATAGATTTCAATTACTTAGCTATAGTTAATTAATTTATGTTTTCACATTATCATATTATTAAACTACGGTAAGTTGATTTGATTTGACGTAAATATCAAAAAAATATTTCTCTCAATCGATATTTTAGAAAATAAGAAATTAATGACGGACAAAATTTTGTAACTGAACCATAAAAAGTTTCATATTAATTTTATTTGACTAAGAGCGTGTTTGACATTACTGTTGGGAGGCCAGAAGATCACTTATTTTGAAAAAAAAAACATTTTTATTGAAAAATTAAGTGTTTGACAAATCAGTAAAAGTGTTTTTAAATGGAAGTAGAAACAGTTTTTCTGCTGTTGGAAGAACTAAAAATTTCTGAAATAAAAAATTATTTTTCTCAAGACTAAACTATCCTTTTCATATATACATAATTACATATTTACCAATATTTCTTATTAATTAATTAGCATATTTCATAAGTTTGGTTAAATTTCATTTAAGAATTTTATTTTATATTTTATATAATAAATTTTATTTTTTATTTTTCATTTATATATTATTTTATATTTTATGTATTATTTTATTTATTATTTTGTAGAATTAGAAAAAAGGTAACAACAATATTTTTTCAAGATTAGAAAAAAGAAGAAAAAAAATAACAATTAAAGATTTTAGCCTCCCAAAAAAGGTATAATATTGATTGAAAATTTAAACATGTAAATTTTAATTTTAAAAAATAAAAATTTAATTAATTATTTTATAAAAGATATTTAAAATAGTTTCTCTCTATAAAATAATTTTAATATTAGGAGTATATTAATAGTTGTCATTTTTTGTAATTTGACTCTTAAAAGCACTTTTTTTTAAAAATTAGTCAAACACAATTTGCTTATGAAAAACACTTTTCAAATGAATTAGTCAAACACAAATTATTATTTTTTCAAAAGCACTTTTCTAAGTAGTCATTTAAAAAGAAATACTTTTAAAAATATTTTTTTTTTAACACCAATGTCAAACAGACTCTAAATCACTTATAAGTATGCATATTAATTGCAAATTGATTAGTTGGACACGTAGTTTGACGCGTGGATCATGACTGGTTTTTCTGTTACCTTAAAATCCAAAACCATCAGTAGCCCCAAAAAATAATATAGGGGTGCGTGGGGGCATATGACACTTTTACGAAAGATAAGTAAATCAATCTATATTTGTAAATTGTAATAGCCCCAAAAAATAATGTGTTTCGATGGGTTCAGGATTTGATTGACAAAGAAATAAATAGAAGGATTACAATACAAACTCATACAAGTACAAGGATATACGAGATTCTTTTGCCAAATTTAATACTCCACGTCCAACAAACACTTCATTCTTGTAGGAACTTCTATTCTACTAGCTGCTAGTAGTATTTGAAAGCTGCGTTTCGTGACTCGTATGGGATTGCTGCACGTATTGTCTAGAAACCTGTCACACTCACACATTCAATCAACTTGTATAAGTTCACAATAAAAAGTCTATTAATCAGTAACCACATCCCTACTGTTTCATATAAACACGAAAACTAGAAATAATTGATGGTCATATATTTAATTTGTACTTCTCACAGTATATTAATTAGTTACGCAACAAAAAATTAATGCTGGAATATATATATATATATATATATATGTCCAAATCTATATATTGGTTATTCTCAATTATTGTGTGTACGTGTTAAATATGTCAAGTGTGTATCATAATTTTTTTGATATATTGAAAAAAACCTACATAAATAGTTTTAAAACGTTGATAATTAAGCTATATTGCTTAGATTTGTTTGGGTTAGAAAATTCATTTTCTTAAGTGCATTTTTCTAAATTAGTAAATCTTCTTTATATTTGTGACCTTCATTTGCTAGAAAGTCTACATGTTGATTTCCTTTCTCTTTAAATATATTTAATTGTGGTCTTGCTAGCTTCAAGTAAAATATTTAAAATCTTCGATAAAAGCCTAAGGATGGTACATCTTTCTCCTCTACTATAAGCTTGACAATAAGTAGACAGTTTGTTTCCACTTCCAATTTTTCGTCTCCCAATTATTAGACAGTTTATTTTCCATGATTGTTTCTAAAAATTGCTCCAAAAGCAGTATCATCTCCACTGTGAGTCTTGACAAACAAAGAAAAGCCCATATTTTCGCAATAGTAATTGTTAAAATTCACCCTATGGACTATGGTAAACCTTCCATGTTTAAAGTTGGAAAATGGACGAACTTTTGACTTTGCACCGATTAACTTCCAAAACATCCTACAAATTGACACGCAAAGTTACAACAAATTACAAGCATATGAAAGGCCTATAATTAATTTGTGTTTGGGAGAAATTTTCATTTTAATTTTTTTTATATGCCTTCAAAGCACCTTTTAGAATACTTCACAAAAACTTTGTTGGGAACAATAAAAAACATCCAAACACCTCTCCAAAATAATTTTCCTAAATCTTTTAAGAAAAAAAACCCCAAAAAGTTGCACAAACGGGTGTCTGCATTAAAAAAAGAAAAAAGAAGGGTAATCTTTTACATTAAATCTAGTTCCTTCTTTAAAATGGTGAGATATATCAATCGTTCTTAATACGCAAATATAGTACTACTAGCTTATTTCAATCACCAAGTGAAATACAAATTATTGTTGCAATAAAATTCACGGTGAAATTATTACTACTTATTACATTATTTAATAATTATGATATTTACCTATCTTTCGTCAATATAATTATCAAATAACTTTGTTCACTAAAGTTGAGATAGATTTAAGATGGATTTTAATAATATATTTCTAAAAAAAGATACTCCCTCCGTTTCACAAAGAATGACCTCATTTTCTTTTTAGTCAGTTTCAAAAAATATGACCTCTTTCCTTTTTTGGTAACATTTACTTTTAGCTTTCCACGTGACATGTTTAAGACCATAAGATTAAGGGCAATTTTGTACATTTGACATAACTTTAATTTAGGACCACAAGATTCAAAAGTCTTCTTTAATTTCTTAAACTCCGTGCCAAGTCAAACCAGACCATTCTTTTTGAAACGGAGGGAGTAATATAAAGAGGATAAATGAAGAAAACAAAAGTAAACAAAAAGTAGAGAGTGATGATGAGTGTCTTTTGTGATGGAAAATAAATACATAAAATATCGTGTGATGAACGGAAAAAAGAAAGCATAGGCGGTCAAAATAATCCCAATTTACGATAGGAAGCCCTTAAATATCGCACACTTAATTAATCTCCTTTCATTTCATTTCTCACTTGTTCACATTTCAGTCCCTTTTTAATGAAAAATAAAAATGGAGTCAATTATACTTGCTAGAAGAATATTATTAATCCCAACACACAAGAATACCCAAAAGTTTCTTACTAGCCACAAGCTATCCTAACCTTAATGATCAAGTCAAGGAATGAATTTTCCTCTTCTTTTATACCACTTTTACTTTTTATGTTTTGCCTCAAAAATATTCAAGATCATAGCATATTATCATCATCATGCCAAAATTACATGGAGGGGTTCTTCTTCCTTTCATTCTTTTATTAATTTCGACTAATATGATTGCCCAGAAATCTCTTGTATTTGGGTTCATTGATCATGATGAAATTTCAACAAGACCTGATCCTCTCAGACATTTTAAGTCATATAATGGGAGTTATAATCTTGGCGACAAACACTATTGGGCTGTAAGTTTTTTTTGTTTATTAAGTATGAGATAAAAAAAGTTTTTAAGAGAAACTGCTTATTTGTTTTTTTGCTTTGTTTGTTTACAGTCTGCGGGTTTCACAGGCATACATGGATATGCAATTGCTGGGATTTGGTTATTATTTGGTTTGGGTTTTGGGAGTTACATGATTTTTAAGTATTTTCATGCCAACACAAGTACTTCAATTGTTGAGCATTCGCCTTCTTCCTATATTTTGATGTTCTCGCTGGTTTTTCTGTTTACGATTCTTGCCATGTAAGTGCTTTTGCTTCCTTATTTTTTGCTACCACTACTTTTTAAATGACTATGTGCTCTGTTCCTATAGGAAATACATTAAACAATCATGTCATATTCATCAATAAATAAGTAAAAAAACATGTTGAGTACAATCTCACAAAATAGTACTTTGAGCTTTATTTTTTTATAACAATGATCAGTGTGTATAAGTTAAACTATGTATTAAACTAGGGGTGCAAGTTGCAACTAACCTTGAAGCTATGAGTTCAAAGAGGATTATTATTCAAAACTCATAAACTAAATTTTTTTTAGCTCCGCCTCTAAATCAAACACATTGATTGTTTGTCCCCTATCTTTTATTGATGGTGATTAGTGACCTATATATAGGAATAAAGCAATGGAGTACTGCATATTTGATATTTCATTCATGTTAAGTTTTATACGAAGAAGACTGACTGATGTGTCTACTACTTTTTGTTTTGTTTGGAAGAGTTGCAAGCTGCGTTGTTTTGACTGCAAACAATGGTTTTGAACATAGAGTAGAAAGGCTTCGCCAAACAATTTTTGATGCTGGTGGTGATACATGTCAATCCATTAGAAGGGTAGTAAAGGTTTTGCTAAGTATGCAAACTCTTTTAAGCCCTTATAATTTTCAGGCAGACCAGATGTTGAACGTGACAACCCATAGGCTTCGAAGAGGATCTGTTACGATTCAACAGTTTATTGATAAAACCCAACACACAAGCAGTGAAGCAATTCGAACTCTGTAAGTCACTGGCCTATGCCATTGTGTCAGTTCTTATGGTCACTATCAAATTCTTATCTTCTTTGAAAATATGCTCTGTTTTGTTGCAGGTATGTTGCAAATATTGTCGTTGTCACTGTCAATTTAGTGCTTTTGGTTAGTGCATTAGGTGAGATTCTATCACACAATGCATCATTATCTTTTAGAAAGGAAGCTAAAATGTACTTTCATGTTTGGGTGTAAAACTAGAGATTTTGTGAATTGTGATAATCTTGTGTGAGTTATAAGCTATTACACGATTTCTACTTTTGCTAGCTGTTGTCTTCCTTATGATTTTTCTGTATAGTCAGTTCCTTCTAACGTATGTGTAAATCGATCATCAATGACATGGTTAGACTAATGGAATGCTGCTTTGGCTCAGTTTTACTCATTTGGCATTGGCCTCTTGGATTTATAATGTAAGTAAGATTTTGATACTTATGTTTGACACAAAATCACCTTTATATTCTCAAAGCCTAATGAAACAGCTCTTATTAACTACTAGAATAATCCTCTGCTGCTGGATTTTGACAACTCTGAGTTGGGTGCTGACTGGCTTTGATTTCTTTTTCCATATGTGAGCACAAATCCTTCTCTTCCTCTCAGTACTTCAGCTTAATTTTTCATTTTATATGCTGTAACTTAGCAAATGTTGATGCAGCTTTGCAGATGACACCTGCTCAGCTTTGAAGGACTTTCAACAGAATCCTCAGAACAATAGCTTGCAAATTATACTTCCCTGTGCAAATCCTGGAACTTCTGACAAAACGTTGGAGCAGATTGGCGCCACGGTTCATAATTTCATTACTCAGGTACTGTTATCTATAATATACAAGAAACAAGGATAGGAGCTTACATATATTCTCTTAGCATTACTAGGACAGTTTTTTTATTTTTTTCTTTGTGTTTTCGATTTCCAGCTAAATTCTAAGCTGAGAGAGGTACAAGGATTAGGATTAAATGATATTGGGGAAAATAGCGTAGGAACAATTTGTGATCCCTTCTCCGGTGCACCTAATTACAGCTTCACACCTGATCTCTGCCCTAAGGATACTATTCCAATTGAAGAACTGAAATATGTAAGTTACAAGCTTTAACTTACTGAACATGAATAAGGATCTTTATGTTTCATGTCCAGTGAAAATTTGGAGATTTTTTTTTTCTTATGTTTGCCTGTAGGTTCTGTCAAGAGTCACATGTTATGGAGGAAATTCTTCAGGCAATTGCGCGGGTGAAGGAAGATTCATTCCACAGGCCTCATCTGTGATATTATTCGCTTATACTCAATCTATTCAAGACCTGATAGAAATATTCCCTGATTTGCTGAGCCTAAGTCAGTGCTCCAAAGTAAAACAAGCATTCGCCAACATTTTACAGTACCAGTGCAGGCCATTTAGACGTTCAGCACGAATACTATGGTCATCTATGTTGTCCCTCTCCATTCTCATGGTACTTTTAGTACTAAAATTGATAGTAAAAGCTCACCAAGAAACAGGAAGAAGCTTCAATACATGTTCCATTACTCCTAAAAAAGTCGAAACAATACCAAAAAACTTGCCCGATTGCAGTAATTCTGCAGGCAATGTATAGAAGATGTAGATGGTTTGCACATTTTTTTTTTTCTTTTTTTGTAGTTATAGATGGAAGTATACAGTGTATACTCATTCCCCCTGAAGTCGTAAGACGCCTTAAAAAATGGGGGTTAAGTTATAGAAAATAGAAATAGAGAATATCTTACCAAACTTGTAGTTGATATATTGGTTCTTGTCATGTACACGACTTAATAACTGTGTGTACATATTTGGCATGAACAGTGATTGATGGATGCCAGAGGCTAAGTTTTGGCCTTGTAAATTTACTCAATTAGCAAATTTGTGACACTATTTCTAATTGGTTTTAACTCAGTCTTTCTGTTGGATTGATCTGTTAATGTTAGTGGAATTTTAAAAGATACGGAGTAATAGTACTAATTAGGATTCTCAATGTTGCCTTATTGGTAGAAATGAGGAAACACTTGGAAAAAAATTACTTAACTCGCATAATCACACTCGGAATCTACATGTATTAGATTATTATCTAATATCTAATACATCCTACCAAAAAATTTCGGACTAAAAGATATCTAAAAGTAATTTTAATAAAAATTGAGATTTGAAATGTTAAAATTAATGTAAATTATTTATTATAATAGATGATAAAAATAATTTTGATAGTGTAAAAAATATTTACCCAATTGGTGGATATAGGGGTGGACATAAATACCGGAAAACTGAAAAATCGAACCGAACCGATTCTTCGGTTTTTCGGTTCGGTGTCGGTGTTATTTTTTCGGAAGTTCGATTCTTCGGTTCGATGTTCGGTGTAAAGGTCTCAAAACTTCGAAAAACCTAACTTTTATTTTTTTAAAATTAATTAACTTTAAAAAAAATAAAAATAAAAAAAAAAAAAAAAAATATATATGGGCATTCTCTTAACTAAAAATTAAAAATTCAATCAACAATTAAATCATTCATGAATAAATCAAAGTAACACCAAATGTACAATTCAATAGTTAACTTGAAATATTAATTTCCAAGAGAAACTCAAACATATTTCTACCAATGTACATTATGTAAAGGAACCATCTTCATACTTGTTTTTCACGATAATTGTTGGAGGCACAATGTTCTTGATAAAGACAAATATAGTCTTTTAGTTGGCACAATAAGTGTTCCACGGTAATACACATCATTCCTTAACATAGTTTTAAATTTCTAAGTATCTTATGCTTTATCCTTATTTTATTTTTCATTCACACCGAAAAATCAATTTAAAAACACCGAACTAAACCGAACCGAAGTAGAAAAAATAAAACCAAATCAAATTAGTTTGGTTTAATATACGGTGCACGCTTTTTTAAAACCGAAAATTAAAAAACCGAACCGAACACCCACCCCTAGGTGGATATTAGTTAAAAACTATTTCCTAAAACACACATGATTGATGACAAATATGTTGGGATATATACTATTAACCATATATTTAGATATAATGTTTATTATAGAATAAATTTATTGAGTTCTGTAAAAGTTTTAATAGATCATATATTTGTGTATAGTGTATGTTTACTTCTATAGTAGGTGATTTAGTGTATATAATTTTAGCTTATTCACAGAGGATTAAATCAACGGTTCTTATAAATATAAAGTTTTTTGTTCACAATCTAAGATGGAAACTGGACATGCCATCGGTACGATTGTAGCACAAGATTATATATAATATATTTTGTTTATATGAGAACCGTTTAGTTCCAACTTCTTGTGCTAGTGTATTTTGTATGTATTGAACGGGACCAAATAGAGATAGTTGTTTTAGACTGACTCACAAAGGCATATTTTCTAAACTGTTAAATGTACTTATATTCTTAATCTTGGTATAACTATTATGATATGTATATATTAATTATTGTTTTGATTTATTAAAATGTAAGATTTAGAGATGAGTCAATATGCTTCGTATATGGGATGATAATAATATATAATAGGTGAAATAATAACTTAGTTGATGAATCCATTTCTCTAAATAGAGATTTACAATATGCCTTTTTGAGAAGCTGTTTATAAGTTTTTATTGTGTCAAGTTGATTTATGAATCCGAAACATGAAATAAGTTAAGCACTGCTCTAAAGAAAATTAATCATTGAATTAACTTCGTCAGTAATTTAATTTATTGATTAATATATGTAATCTTAAAATGGAAATTACATAAGTGTTTAATGAGCAATTTCAAAAAATAATTGAAAGAGTGCAATTACGAATTTCTAGTAGAATGATTTGTAATTTATTTTGGTAATTAAGAATAATTCAAATTAATTATTTGAAATTATTTATAGGAAGTCTCATTAATTAATTTTGTGGTCCTTACCGTGCTCATATTTAACTAAAACTCAGAATCCTAATTCTATGGGGGAAAAAAAAAGAACGTGACTTTCGGATTTTTGAAAGTAACGTGTATTTTTGTTCTTCTATAAGTAGGGTTTCTTCTGACCTAGAAAAAAAACTTTCTCTACAATATTCGTCAAGTATCACGATAGAAGACTGCATATATGTTATCTAATTTGGGATTTGTGGATTAGCTTGAAGGTCTAACTATTATCTAACTTGTGGATTAGCTTGAAGATCTGTCTAATTTGTGGATTCACTTGAAGGTACACTCACACTTCAAAATGTGTTAGTACCATGATTATATGTATTTTAACATAAACATATCAATTATTTATTATTTATACAAGAATTTTAATATACCTCCGTTGTGCATATAGTTTTCTAACGAAATATGTATAACGAGCAACCTCGTTGACCTTGGAAAGCCGGACACCTAATATTGGTTGGCTACCATTTTCTTATATGCTAAAGCAGGCACTTGAGCAGAAATAATTGAAAAATGATTAAAGTTTACGCATAATGTAGCAGTAATATAATACGTTCCTTGAAATTAAAGGACCACAAATAACCACATTAGGTAATGACACCTATTCATTGACTGTTGCCTGCTGGTGAGTGGTGATACCAATATTTGTCAACACAAAATTAAGCTCCGTCTTACAATGCTCAATTTTTTATTTGTTCAGCTTAAAAAATTGATAAATAGTTTATTATTTATTTCTATTTATTATTAATATGTCAAATTAGAACAAAATAAAAAAAATAAATGATGGAGTAATGAAAGTGAAGGTTGATAAAAGATCTCATGAAAACATTAATGAATTGAATGGCGTCTTAAATATTTTGGCCATCAGTCATCAGTTTTCCGTTGGCTATCTACTCAACGTTGATCATCTCAAACGGCCAACAAGCATGTCTTTAATAAGTCCAATATTCCTCCTATTTGGACTTCAAAAATATATATTTTTTAAAATAGAATATTTTAAATTATTAATTATTGTCACATATAATATTAAGTTTTTAAATAAGTAAATTTTATTTTTAAAACATAAAATATTATATATTCAAATTCACATTAAATATAATTTGTTTCACTCTTGTACTTTGACAAGTGTTGGCTGTTGCGATATAAGTATACTTAATCATAAACAAGAATGGAACAGTAATTGACTAGTTAATCCCCACCAGACAGCTAAGGACCGGTTTAGTTAAGGGTAGATGTTGAAATTTTGTGTGAAGACGTGTTCAATTAGATATATTTGATTTATGTTAGAATTTTTGGAGATAATTCTAATTCTAAACTTTAACTTATGTCTGATATTATATTTTCTTAAAGAGATCTCTAAATTATTTCACAAATTCGAAATAATCGTAAGGATCAAATTTAAATCATAAATATTATAATTTATTTTTTATCAATTTAAAATTTGTTGCAAACCTTTAAAAACTAAAAGAATTTGTTCATTGCAACACTAAAGAAAGTGGAAAGGAAGTGGTCTGGAGAGAGAGAGGGGGAGATCGGAGAAGTAAGGATAGATAGGTGGAATTTAGGGGGGCCAAGGGAGGATCTTTGGTCTCAAGTTATCATCATTATTAACATTCCAAGATCCAATTAACAGCTTATTCCACAACCTTCTTTCCCTTTGCTACTCATTAACCCTTATCTTCCCCTTCAATCTGGGTATGTTGGGGAAAGATATTGCAGAAATTAAATACCCAAATTAACTTTTCAACAGCTGATCAACTTGATGATTAGCTCAACTGACAGAGCAGCTTCGATTGAAACATATGTCGAGAGATTTCGTTCAATCTTCAGCTAGCTTGTTTTCAGGTAAGCTTGTTTGCACCCACAATTTGACTCTTATACTTCCCCTTTTTCTTCTTCCTTTATGAGAAGAATTAAATAATTTCTCTCAACTGCCTTACATATTTTGTCAAGACTTTGTGGGCTTTTTGCCGATCAAGGTTCACAATTTGTGGATCTTGAGCTGATCAATGCTGAAACTTTTGCTTTTATGTCAATTGATAGTCAAGATCATAGAGGACTGCAAGTGCATCGTAACATAGAATCTGTGTAGATATTTTAATGTTTTTCTTGTGATAAAGTTGCAATCTTTGGGTTGATATTGAGAAACACATACTGTTCAAATACATTGTAGCAGCAGTGATTGAGGTTGGAGTTTTAAGCTGAGACTAATCTCCACTCTCACAAAAACAAAAAAGAAGAAAGATGCAAACCTTAAAACCTTCCAAACATTGTATGTGCAGTTTATATCTCAATATCTTTAGTAGGGGAGTTTGCCTCTATTTTATAGAGGACCTGGCCTACCCATCACAAACTTATAGGTGAAATGGGTCTCAACTCACCAATGGCGGAGCTAGAATTTCAACTAGGGAGTGTCAAAATATAAAGAAGTTAAATTGTGTAGAAGTGAATGTCAATATGTATGTAATAATATATATACATAAAAATATATTTTTATCTAGTTATGCAGTATAATTTTCTGACGGAGGGGTGTCGATCGACACCCCTCAATTGTATGTGGCTCCGCCACTGCAACTCACCTATATGTAATTTGGATTAAGGCTTATGTTTTATTTAAAACTTGGACCATGCCTTATCCTTTCAAGCTATAGTCAATGTAAAATTGAATTCTGACAATCTAATCAAATTTTTTGTTATTAGCGATTACCAAGTTGTGTATGCTCAATGATAAACATGTTTCATTTGTTTGTATCTTTTGTTGGTGCTCAAGAAATCTGCTAGAGTGATTGATTGTGCATGTATGATATTGTCGGCAGTCAACTCTAATGGAGTTATAAACTTCAGAAAACTTGATTTTAGTCATTTTCTCTGCCTGTTAATACAAGTTACACAGTTTCATTTATTTACAAAATATTCACCTTTACTGAGAGATATGTGTGGGTACATTCAAACACAAGTACATATTGTCTCTAGTATGCTCCACATATACTGACTATAGTTCTGAGTCTTCATTAACTTGATTTTCTTTACTGCAGCATTACATTCAAGATAAAAAAGGAACAAAATGAGGTTCAAGAACAAATCCAGGAATCCAACCACTATACGTTGCTATCCAGGACGCAGATGCTCATTTTCAGTTCTCTTATGGAGCCTAGTCGGTTGCCTTCTTTTGCTTAATCTATATTGCTTTATTTTCGAAAAGAATGCACCGCATGGGGGTGCACACTTACGTATTAACCAGCACCAACACTTTCGTGAGCTTGAGGAGGTTGAGGAGGATAATATACAGATGCCACCACCAAGGAAGCGATCCGCACGTGCTGCCAAACGGAAGCCTAAGCGGCCAACCACCATGATTGAAGAATTTCTTGATGAGTCTTCGCAGCTAAGGCATGTCTTTTTTCCTGGTCAAAGAACTGCAATAGACCCTCGTAGGAGTTCAAATGATACCTATTATTATTACCCTGGGAGAATGTGGTTGGATACTGAGGGAAACCCCATACAAGCTCATGGGGGAGGTATTCTACACGATCAGAAGACAAAAATGTATTATTGGTATGGAGAGTATAAAGATGGGCCAACATATCATGCTCACAAAAAAGGAGCAGCACGAGTAAGTCCTGGATTTCATACATTTTTATAAGTGAATAACTTGTATGTTATTGTTTTCTCTTTATTTAAATTGTTGTTCTGTGTCTTGTAACATAGGGAATTCTGTGCCCCTCCTCTCTTCTTTCAAAGTGTATATACATGTGAACTGGTATTGGAGCAGGGTGGGAGAAATGAAGGCACGTGTCCGGAATATTGTGTGATAAAAATGTGTCACGAAGGCTTAAAGGTAAGTTCTATAGAGTTGTGGTTAGACCTATATTGTTGTACGGGGCAAAGTTAAGAACACACACCTTTAGAAGATAAGGTAGCAGAGATGAGGATGCTCATATGGATATGTGGACATTCTAGGAGAGAAGATAAGGTGGGAGTGGGTCCATTGTGGACAAGATGACAAAAGCAAGACTAAGATGATTTGGGCATGTGAAGAGGAGATGCATGGATGCACCAGTAAGTGTTTGTCAGAGGTTGGCTATAACAGGTTTTAGGAGAGGTAGAGATAGGCCGAAAAAGAACTAGGGGGAGGTGATTAGACAGAACATGACACATCTTCAGCTTAGTGAGGACATAACCCTAGATATGAAGGTATGAAGGTCAAGGATTAGGATAGAAGGATAGCAAGTAGTGAGTGTTATAGTACTTTATGTGGAAGAGGAAGGGGGCTAGTCTCCTCTTCTCATGTTCTGCTTCTTTAGTAGTATTATTTAGTATTGTGTATCTTATTCTTCAATTTCTATTACCACCTATTTCTTCATTTGCTCTGTCTATCTTGCTATTTTTTTGTCGTTATTTTCCTTCCAATCCTACTTTCATTACACTTCTTTTGAGCCATCTGAAACAACTTCTCTACCCCACAAAGGTAGGGATAAGATTTGTGTATATTTTACCCTCCCAAAACCCCACTCGTGAAAGTACAATGGTTATGTTGTTGTTTGCTCATAGTGTACTCTTAATCAACACCTCCTTCCCTCTTTTTTTTTTTTTTCCCTATTTCAAAAAAAGAGGGAAGGAGGTGTTGATTAAGAGTACACTATGAGCAAACAACAACATAACCATTGTACTTTCACGAGTGGGGTCTTGGGAGGGTAAAATATACACAAATCTTACCCCTACATTTGTGGATGAGTATCTCATTTGCCAACCTGCAAGCCTCCTTTGGGTTCCGAGCTCTTTCTACCAATAGATAAATGATACCAAAATGTTCTCTTTGAATTCTGGAACTTCTCTCATCGCCTGGAATAATCTCATATTCCTTTCATTCCATTTAGTCAAAATTGCATGGTAGCCAAGTTTTCTAAGCTACTTTCCGCTGGTCCTCAGTTTTCTCAATCCTTACCCTTCAACTTCAGTTTCTAACATTATCTTCAGGGTACCCGATCAAAGTCCAATAAGGAGGACACTATCACCAAAGCTGTGAGGCTACGCTACATTGTAAAGTTAAATGATCAGCAACCTCCTGTTACTCCTTACACAGACTACACGAACTACCAATAATCGATTTCCTCTTTCTAACTTCTAAGTCTGTTTTGCAGTAAGAATTGTATCCACCATAACCATGTGAAGAAGGTCGCTTTCTTCCGCACATGTCCATATCCTCTTCCATCCTGTCTTATTGCCATCCTTGTTTGTGAAGACTTAGGTAATTGGATCTCTGAACATGTTCTGTAGAGGCCATGTTGAACACATTACATGACAATGCTCTCTTTTTTTCGCTGTAAATATCTTCCAGTATTCTGTATCGAAAAAAGAATACAAGAAAAAGATCTCAATGGAAATGTGTTGGTTCCTAGCCCCTTCCCTACCATTTTATCCTCCTCACCTTCTGCTATAGTGTAACTGAATTATTTTCATTGGGCAGTTCCTCCCATTCCCTACCCCACAGTGACTTAACCAACCAATCAGAGGTCAATTACCAAATAAGCAATCTTAAGCAGTTTTGTAAGACTCGACACTTGAGAAGCATTTGGAAATCATTTGAGCATGAGTGCCTCTTAAATGGACATTTTGGTGTCAATCGTCTTAGATGAGTGACCTAATGGGGTGATCTTTCAGATATCAAGCTTGAGTCAAACATTGGCACTGTATCATATGCATAGCGATAAATGAGATGTTCTTTATATTTATGTATTGGTTATGAGACGTTCCCTTTGTTCCTAGATTAATGATTACTTGTCCATTATCTAGATTGGTTTTACTTTTTTGGCTAAGGGGTGAGATTTATTCTTCATCTGGGAATTAATTTTAGCTTTAATTTTTCGGCTTTTCATCCCTATTCTGCTGTTCTTTCAGGTTGATGTTATCGGTGTTGGTTGCTATTCATCCAAAGATTTGTGGACGTGGAAAAATGAAGGAATTGTTTTGGCAGCAGAAGAACATAACGAGACACATGATTTGTACAAATTAAATGTACTGGAGAGGCCAAAAGTAATTTACAATGAGAAGACAGGTAAATATGTAATGTGGATGCATATTGATGATACAAACTACACGAAAGCTTCTACTGGTGTAGCCATTAGCGACCTCCCCACTGGTCGGTTTAATTATCTGTACAGTAAACGGCCCCACGGATATGAAAGCAGGGACATGACACTCTTCAAAGATGATGATGGTGTAGCATATCTCATCTACTCCTCAGAGGACAACAGTGAGCTTCATATTGGTCCACTTAACGAAGAGTACATGGATGTGACCCAATCCATGAGAAGGATTCTTGTTGGACAACACAGGGAAGCCCCTGCTTTGTTCAAACATGAAGGAACCTATTACATGATCACATCAGGTTGCACTGGTTGGGCTCCGAACGAGGCGCTGGCTCATGCAGCTGAATCAATTATGGGGCCATGGGAGACCATTGGAAATCCTTGCATCGGAGGGAACAAAGTTTTTAGAGAAACAACTTTCTTTTCTCAGAGCACATTTGTGCTTCCTTTGCCTGAGCTACATGGTTCCTTTATTTTTATGGCAGATAGGTGGAATCCAGCTGACTTGAAGGATTCAAGGTATGTGTGGTTACCTTTAAGAGTGTCAGGGCCAGTAGACCAGCCTCTTGAGTACAATTTTGGCTTCCCCTTATGGTCCAGAGTGTCTGTTTATTGGCATAAAAGATGGAGACTTCCTTATAGATGGCAGGAAATAAATTGAGTAGAGGAATAGGAAATCATTTGTACAATATGTTTTTCAATTTTTCGGTTTTCTAATAATTTTTCCATAGTTGTGTTGTAGTATTTTTTTTTTTCCCCTCTTCACCATAAAGATTAACCAGTTCCATGCAGAATAACAATAGGTGTAAATTTTTTAGATCATGAACCGTAATAATGTAATTTTTGAGTTAGGATGACTGTTCTTGAGTGAAAACAAGCTCGCCTTTCTCCTCCATTTACACTTTTGATATGTTTTGACTGCATTAGACAAGACAACTTTACAGCTGGAAATCAACTATATCTCATGTTTTGGTTTGAGGTATTAGCTAATCCGGGGTTTATTTTATCCCGCCATTTATTTACTATTTCAAAATATAGAATGTGCGATAAAATAATCATGAAATTAGCTAAACATGAGATAAAGTTAATCCCATCCATCTACCAAACGACCCGGAGTGAACAATCTCAACGATTCATTTTTCTTGTTTCTTCATTTCGTTTTCCTTATGCTGAAACAGTTTAAGAAGCCAAATGATTGCCTTTTTTGAAGAAATAGAACATAATCCTAATTAATTAGCAGCTTTGTTTATCATTCTCCTTTGTATTGTCTCCAAGAAAATGGTGCCCTGTATATCGGAGAATGACAAAAAATATTCCTATGAATTTTAATTAATTGGATTTGTATCCGTGAGTAGTTGTGCAGTCGCTCTCTGTTGAATTAATTACTTATTAAACATCTATTTTTGGGTAATAAATCACTTTCAGATTGTGTAGCACTGCAATTACATAATAATAAATCATACATTAAACAAGAAGATAATATAAAGACTTTCCTTCATCAGATGCCTAATTAGACGCAACATTTTTCACACTTCTCTTTTTTTTTAAAAATAAAAAATAAAAAATGTACATTAGATAATTAAATTCCTTTTCTTTTATACGGGTGAAAAACTGACAAGGATTTATCAACCTTTTTTGGGCGGTCACCAACCTTTACGCAAATGTATAAACTTTTTAGCTATCATTTATATTCTGTTTTCATATTATAAAAATTGTGTAAAATAGTCACTTGAAAAATTATCCTTTCCTATCGACATTAAACTCAAGTCTTATGTTTTCCCCTATATTGTTTGACATTACAATCTTTTTTAGATAAAATATTAAATTATCGTCTAATGTTCATAATTTTTTTGACTGTGATCTAATGTTTCCTCGTAAAGATTTCTGATTTGCTCAAAAAAGAACTATACAATAATCGAAAATGTAAACTAAAAAGATCATTTAGTTAATAATCGTCCCTAGCGGAACCAACTTGTTGTATTTTGGTCATCACAATAAAGTCTTGGTCAATTTTCGATCACCATAATATATATAAAATACCAGGTCCCCTTTATGCAATAAAGAGAATCAAATAAAACCAAATGATAGACAAAACAGTAGCAAATGAGGCCATGCTTTTAAAAAAATCATATATAAAGAAAAGGTGAAGTTCTTACGTTATTTTTAAAAAAAGAAAAAGGTGGAGGGGGGCAGGTCTTATCAAAAGAAGTTCCCACCACCTTGCCACTATAACTATTACTGAATGAATGTTTGTTTGTAAGTTTGCTTTCTTTCTTTTAGTGGGCCAAAACCCAAAAGTAGTCATCCACTTCAAAAGCCATAAGTTCATTTTACTAATGTGGATGGAGGCCATCAAGTGGTCTTAAAAAGTATGGAGAAAAAAATAATATGAAAGAGACCATATCTATCTATCTATCTATACAGCGTGCAGGCCACTTATGTATAATTCTATTAATATAGTTATATTTATATTCTATTATATCACTAAAGACTAAACACCTTTTGTTAGATTCCCAAACTTAATGGCCGTCCTAAGATTCTATGGTCCCAACCAAAGATAACGACCCCTTTTTCCCCCGCTATAATCACTCAAACTCCACCCTACTACTACTCTTCAAGTACCCCTATGATCATTTTCTTGTATTGTCTTCAATTATTTCTATTTTTTTTAATAACGATGATATTGTTTGTGGACATCTCGACTATTCTATCAAGTAGCCCCATCGGCACTATATACATTCTTCTCCCACTTTATTGACTAGCACGTTGCAACGACAGTCTTCTTTAATTCTTACTTTATTTAAAGCCATCAAACATCTATGCTTATATCATCATTTAGAACCTATTACCTACTCCATCAAGACACAAATTTAGACCAAACACTTGACAAATTTCTAGTACTTTGAGAAGCTTTAATGTTTCAGGAAGATTATGTGCAAGTGATATATACATTGGCTATTTGTCCTGTTGTTCTCCTAGTTAACCATAAAGACAATAGAATCCAGATGGAGTACTTTTGTGCATTACTCTTAACACAATATTGACATTTTGTCAATCATCCATGATATGACTAATGGATGTATTAGCAAGAAAGACATAATTTGTTTTGGATTATACTAACCAACTCCTCACAAAAGGGTTAATTATCACTTAATAGTCCATATAATTAACTATTAGTGCAATTTAACCAAAATTCAAATCATATAAATGATTAGTGTAACTTGACTTGTTATGACAAGTTTATTTTATGGGTTATCAAATCATATTTTGTTAAAAATAGTCACTTCGTATCATAGATAACTTAATCAACTTGATAGACTAAAAATTGGTGCACATAACTTAAATTCAATTGAAAAAACAAATTTTCTTTTCTTGAATACCGAAATTAATCCAATGTTAACAAAAGGTTAATCATCATATCCGATAGAATTAGTATGTTACTACTAATTAAAAACTCAAAAATTCTATTCATCATTTAAAATTTAAACAAAAAGAAGCCAAAGGTACCTTTCTTGATTCCATATCCACTCCAAACAAATCCACTAATTAAAGTGAGAGCAAATATGGAGATCTCGATGGTGACTCACCACCCACACCACCAATTGGTCCTAATTTAATTTTAAGGCTTCCATGCACTGGCCCACACCACCGGCTGTTCCTTCCACGACAAGAATATTCCGGCGGAATCTCCGCCACACTGTCCCATCGACCAGCCATCTTTATACCTTCTCAACAAAGCTCTAACATCATCACAAACTTCATCACTATATAAAACCTGACTGAACCCTCCTCCATGCATACGATGTGACCATTTTGCCCCCGTTTCCCGCCTCTCCATTGACTCTGATGGTGGGCATGCTAGTAAATCAACAATCGAACGTCCTGCTTGTCGCTCTAGCATCAAACGTTCGTTACTTGTTTTTGAAAAACTCTCGTCTAATGATTCAAAATAAACCCTAAGCCATTTCAAACATTCTTGAAAACCTTTAACAAAATCGAGACCATCAACATCAAGATCAGCTTCTTCTTCAACAATTGTAACAATCCTAGGTTGTAACCTCCTAAATAATGATATCAAATAATCCCTTCGATTGCCAGCTGGCGTAACGGAATGTAACGCACCAATACAATTAATTGCTAGCGCTTCATCTCCTTTAATATCTAACGCACCAATATCCAATTCAGATAAATTTCCCGCATGGTGAATGACGTTGAATTTAAACGGTACGCCCATAAGCCTAGCGAATTTTTCCATTCTATTACCAATCTCCTTCATCACTTTTTGCACGGACGCTGCACCTCCGCTAGCGGCAACCACCGTGGTGAGGCGGAGATGCGGTGTTTCATCGGTGCGGGTTGCTAGCGCTTCTAGTAAAGTAGGCCATTGAGTACAATAAGTGTTGCTAATATCAATTATATGCAACTTTGACTCACCTTCTAAGGCTTCCATAATTGCACCATTGGATGCAACGTGACCAAAAGTCGTCCAAGGGCTAACTTCCTGAAATTTCAAAACTAATTTCCTCGTTGACTCGAACGAACATGTTTTATCCGAAGCGGATAACAACGTACGATAACATCGTTCGCCAGAATCCGTCATACGGCTAAATAATGCTTGAAGAAAATAAGAAGCCAATTTTTGTTCGGTATCTCCATATGGAGAACTCAGCTCATTCAACATCCACATGAGTTGTTGGACACGTGTACTGTTCTTATCGGCTATGGCACGAGAAGTTTCTAGAAGAATGTCCGTCGCCCATTTTCCGGAAAATGAGGAAGCGAATTCGAGATTTAAATCACGTGCTGGGGAGAATTGATGATCATAGTGATGAGATTGAGATTGTTGTGTCGGGGTACTGCTTGTAGTTGTCGGTGTGGGAGTGTTGGAAATTTGTTGATATTGATTGTAATGAGGAGGAGGATAGTTGTTGTTGTGTTTAGAAGAAGAAGAAGAGAAATCATCTTCATCCATGAAAAAGTTGAAGCATTCTTCGTCTTGATTATTATGATGTGGATGATAATTATAAGTAGTATTATATGTGTTTTGTTTGTTAGAAGATCTAGAGCTGCTTGAAGTTCTGCTGGAGTTAAAAGAGTATTGATCAGATTGTTGTTGTTGTTGTTGTTGAAGGGTAACTAATCTAAACAAAGTATCCATTTAACAAAAAGGGGGGCTACGTATCTCTCTTGCCACATCAAAGTTAAAAAGAATAAATGTACAAGACTAGTAGTACCTTTAGTGATTTTGTTGGATGGGTTCAAAGCAAAAGGATCAACTCAAGTGGAGTTGTTGGAGGAAAGAGTGGGGAGGAATTAAAAGCTTGACGCCTATTTACATAAATAATTAAAGAAAGAGAGAACAAGTAGTGGGCATAGAATAAAAAGATACTAATAAGTACTTCCTCCCTCACTCCATCCTATATATGACGTACATTTTCTATTTTGCTCAATTAGTAAGAAAATTATTACTAATAGATTGATTAACTTTATTATTTTGACATTTGTTCATACTCCTTTTAATTTGTTCTTAATTACTTATCCACTTTTGAATTGACACACATATTAAGAAAATAATTAATGACTTAATGAGTTTATCATTTTACCTCTATTAATTATGAAGTGGATGAAAAGTTCTACATTTTAAAAAGTAATTAGTCATTTAATTGAGGGTATAATCGGTTAAAAAAAATTGTCCCTTCTTGATTTGTCAAAATGGACAAGTAATTAGACTTTTGAAAAAGAAAATTTTGAATCTTCAAAATTTGTTTAAACTTTCAAAGTCATATTAATTGTAGAGGTAAAATGAGAAAAAATTAATCAATTATATCCTGATTTAGCAAGTGATCAAGTAATATGAGACAAAAATTTTACAATATGGGACGGAAATAGTAAAAATTAAATTTCACTTTGCTTTTTCTTTTTTATATATCGAGGCACTCGATTAAAATCATTGATAAGAATGGAATAATAAGAATGAAATAGGGATTTGGTTGTGCTATGCTTTAATTTTTCTAATTATTCAAATGGAGTAAAAATAGTTCTTTTTTTTGCCGTTAAGAGATGGGAGATATAGAAATTGTCTGACAAAAGATCGATATAGATAGTGGTATGTATAATAATAGAAAAAAGTAGTCTATAAAAGTGGATGGAGACCAAGAAATTAGTTGCTTTTGATTATATTTGATAGTAGACATAGAAAAGAGGGAGTATAAGTGAGTGGGAGCATGCAGATAGAAGATGCAGGCGTGACAAATTTAATAAAATGAGTTTTGAGGGGAAAGAGAAAAAAAGGAAGAAAAGCTGCCGGCGTGCATCATCGTGATGATTCAACAATTCATTATCATCATTCATTATTCATTATCAAACCCACCACTACCCAAAACATTATTATTTCACATTCTTTTGCCTCCTAATCCATCTTCAAAGCCTGCCAAAAGAACAGCCACCAATACAATAAAATAAAGATGAAAATTTGATACCCTCTCTCCTTTTTTTTACCTTTCTTATACTTGAACAAAAACCTATACAATATGTTTACATCATTAGAATATCACTTCAACTTTGAATACGATATATCATCTGTCCGTTCATTTTTACATGTCACATTTTACTTTTTGAAAGTTAAATTATGTGAATTTTGAGAGAAAGATTGTAACCTATAAATGTAACAGTTAACAGAAGGTGTGTACTAACATTGGACAATTAACATAAATCCAGGGCATGCTCCTTCACTTTTCTCCCAACGCCCATAACATATACATCATCACCACTAGATATAGTTAATTACTAGGCCATGCATTTTCCTAGATAATATACTTCTGCCGCGCCTTCTTGTGACAATATAATGGAACTTGCGTAATCCATGGCTACTAATATTTTCTTGACAGTCTACCTCTTTCAATCCGTTGGATGAGTATATTTAAACAAAATTAGTCGAGTATATATATTTGATCCCACAAATTAATTGAATTTGTTTCAAAAAGTCAATATCTGACTTCTTTTATAAAATAAACTAAAATACTGTTACAGTTTCGTTCGTAGAGTGTTAATTGATTAAGTAATATGTTTTAGGAGAAACAAATACTTTCTCCATTTAAAAAAGAATGACCTGCATTATCATTTTTAGTCTATTTCAAAAAGAATGACTCATTTCTTTTTTTGGCAATATCTTTAATTTCAACTTTCCGTGAGGCCATAAGATAAAAAGACATTTTGATACATTTGACATAACTTTATTTTAGAACCACAAGATTTATAAGTCTTCTTTATTTTCTTAAATTATGTGTCAAAGTTAAACTAGATTTATTTTTTTAAAACAGAGAGGTAATACTTGAAGTGTTTGATAAAAGAGTGTGCAAGAACTATAAAGACTTCCCAGTGAACGTAGAAAAAATACTTATTTTTAGTGAAAAAATACTTATTCTTGAACCAAACATGCCCTTGGTGAAAAAGGAAGGGATATTGAAGAGGAAGCATTAAGCTCGTAAACTCAGCTAACATGAGTAGTGCTTTTTCAAAAGAGAACTAGGGGCTGGCGCCCGTTCAAAGGACATACTCAGTTTAATTATCAAAAGCAAGCTCTAAAAAAAATATAAACAACAGTTGAATTAAGTTGCATCAAGAATTTTAGTAGACTAAACTTTCACCTTATTAGTTGTACGTGTTATATAATTGCATTGGTATCTAAAAATTACTCAAAATCGTCAAGTTGTATTCTTGGCTCTATCCTTGGATAAATTTTCATATACTTTGTACTCTTCTCTTACCAGAGAATGGTCAATTGGTTTGCTATACGTACATTTATAGGGAAAAAAAGAACAATTTGTATTGGCATTCATGATTCTAGTCCATTTATATGATCAATTTGGGTAAGGGCAAAGTGGTCATTGTACACAACCAGGTCTTGTTCCAACACCAATTTTCTAAGATATAATATTCTCTTGGGAAACTCTCCCAAGAATTATTCTTCTTCAGCGTTGGAAAATTATAAAAGTTAAGTTGTTCCTAATATTATATATATATAGTAGTACTCAATTTCTTAAATCTTTTTTCTTTCTGTTAGAATATGTCAAACAGACCTATTGGTTTTACGCGTCGACGCTTAATTAATTAATAAACCCATAGATTATATAAAATAAAGTTAAAAGAACATCATCAGCAACATAATCCCCACATGATTTTTTTTAATGAAACTGGATATGATATGACAATGTTGTGTATAAATTAGAATTGTCGTTGGATTGGTTTAAAAGGTGACTACGAAAGATTATTAAACAACTCTTTAACTCCACTTTGGAGGATATATAATCACAATTTAGTTCCTTAGTTTATTTTTTATTTCCTGTTTGGTTTAATAATAAACACATATATTTAACTTGCTTGCGTGTTTAATGGGTCAACTTTTCAACAGTACATAGACTCGGTTTCTGTTTCTCTAACAATTAATATACCATGCTATGTAGTAATACTTAATTAATCCTTTTTGAGTTTTTGTAATGTATGTTTCAAGATATCATAAAAAGTACAAGTGACTGATTAACAAGCTGCTCGTCTAGAAAAATGAAAAGAAAATGTTACTTTTATGAAGAAAAAAATCATTCCTAGGTGGGGGGAGTAATTTATAATGGAGTGAATATAACCAACCCCACCAGTGGTTGACCAAACAGACTTATTTTAATCAAAATGATGAGTCGAAACATTCTTGTCAAGTCTTGCAGTTTACATTAAATTATGAATACCGCTCAGCATGGCAAGTGTAAACGATATAGTAGAGTCGGATGTATGTATATGATGAAAAAGGAGTGGGCGTAAACATACATACCCATCTATTTGAACACATTCACAAAAAGGTAATTAACTCCCCCCTCTCTATTTTTCTATATATAGTATTCACTTTTGACATATTTCTTCAAATGTACAAACATTTTAATCATTCTGACTCAGACATCCTAATCTTGATAAAAACTAATGATGCCTTAAATACCAGGTTTTAACCAAACATAGAATTCAAACTCTTTAACATATGTATTGTACTTTTTACCTTGAATAAGACCCTGAGGTAAATTGTATAAAAGAATCTCGGTTTTAAGATCTTTTTTACTTTTCAATATTATAGGAGAGATGGGAAGGAAATTACAAGATAGGAATCAAACTCACACCAACAAAGTTGAAAGTTCAAGTAATCAACCAACTAAACTAAACTACTAAAATCCTCTTTTGCAGAGTTGTTCTTTTCTTGCCTCACTTTTTTCTGACTAAAAATATATTTTCAAGGAGGGGGAAGGGTGATAGATATAATGTTGAAATGGAGACTTACCTTTTATAATGAAGTAGTCAAAGAGGAGAATGGAGTCATGAGTAGGAGCCCAAGGGACAAGGGGATCAGCTTTTGTTCTGTTTAAGTTGGAGTCCCACCACTGACTCCCATTAAGAAATACTCAGTAGTCAGCTGCAGATTCCTAAAAGAAGAACCCACCCCTCATTATTAAGTCCCTCTCTAAGCTATTGCTGTTGCAGACCATGTGAATATGTGATACTACTTCTCCTCCACCTTATTTTCCTTTTCTACTGTCAATAGGCTTATGGCTTTGTTACATGATGAAAGGAACAACTCACCCCACCCATGCTTTGTACCCCAGGAAGACGTTGAAACACCTAGATAGGAATTTAGTACAGTTATATTCACAAGATTTTCATGCACAAATGTGTAACAAAAATGCTCAAACCTGAAACATCATGCCTTTCAAACAACGTGACACTCTATATCAACTTCTAAATGTGAGGTTTATGGAGCGACAACTAAATGTAACTCATTCCAATAAAAGTAATTCCTGTAACAAAAGAACATAAATAAAACGCAAAAAAAGATGGAAGATTTCATCTTAAAAGAGAGGTTGTTATATATATAAAGCTTTCATGAAAACACGTCAACAATTCAACTCCTTCAATATTCACGGAGCACTACCACTTAAAAGGAAGAATATTTTCCTTCCTGCGTTTGAACATTCACCATTAAAATCCCTTCCAAATCCGCGGTTTGAACTTTGAACTACCAACCGAAGTTCAATTGCCACTCTAACAAACCTAACTTGTCATAATCCTAGCAAGAATGTCGAGTATTCCATCAATCATAGTTCCCATTAACAAGGAAAATCAGTTGGAGACTAGCATGCAAGTGAACATCAAAACCTCAATCTCATATCACCATTCTGAACAAGGGGAAAAGCAGTTAAAACCTATATAAATGTTAATAATAGTACAATTATAGTAAAAAAATATGTCACCAAATGTCTAAAACAAGTGTAATAGATTGTTTCCAACTCTGCACTTCCTTTTCTCTTTTTCTTTTT